CACGTGACGGGAGGCTTCACCCTTCCTGTGTGACTCAAGCACCTGCTGGTTCAGGCGGTGGCGTAATGGACTTTGGTCAGTCTCTGGAACCTCCCCGCCCCGTCCTGACTGACTCCCAGCCACCGGCTTAGGGACGCCGCCGAGCGATTCGGCCGGGGGGTCAACGCATCTGCCACGGGTGCTGCGCGGGGAGGGAGGGGCGGGCGGCCACAGTCCTGCTGCCTGGCTGAGGTTGTCAGCGACGCTAAAGTTTTGCAAAGTTTGTCTAGTGCTTGTGTGGCTCCTGTCGCTGCCCACCGCGAGACCTGGCCAGGAACCCGTGCCCTCTCCTCCCGGACCTGCTTAGAGCACCACACAGAGAACTCTCCTCCCGGGCGTGAGGCCGGGCCGGGGAGGCGAGGTGGGCGCTCCTCGCTGTCTCAGGGAGGAGGAAATCCCGGCATCCAGGGTCCTGCTAGTCTCCAGCTCCAGAGAGGAGGGCGGGAGCCTCCTCTATGCTCCTTTTGCTTAATCTCGTTCAGAGTCATTAGAAAGATCAACCAAAGGACCTGTATGCATGCATATAAGCCTAACTAATGGACACAGACAACAGGGGGGTGAGGGCATGAGCTGGGGAGGTGGTGGTGGTGGGGGTTTATGGTGGGATAAGGACATATATGTAATACCTTAATCAATAAAGAAATTTAAAAAAATAGAAATTTCCTGAACACCCCCATCTTTTTGGTCCCCCATCTTTGAGCTGCTTCCCATGAGCTGCCTTCTCAGACTACTCCAGCCAAACACACATCACTCCCTGCTCTGCCCTTAACCCTACTCTGTGGGCTTTCAGCGGATCAAGGACCCTCTCCTCCACTGTGATCTCCGGAAGAGGCGGGACCAGGTCTGCCTCCTTCTGCTGCGGTCCCGCGGTCCCAGGAATTGCTGAGCATGCGACTGGATGAATGAATGAGTAATGAATGTCCGCCCCTCTCTCATTCTGATCTAGGTGCCAGGACAGTAGGTTGTGGCTCAGCTTTAGCACTAACTCTGGAAGGCCTTGACCCTGTTCCAGTCCCTCTCAGGGCCCACTTCTCTGTGAAACAGAAGCAATCACACTCACCCTCCTGCCAACAAGTGTCCATCCGTTGGGGCTTTGGACGGTCAGGGTCTGGACAAGTGCACAGTCGTCCTTTCTGTCGCCTAGGAGCTTGCTCAGGGCCCCGGGGCCATGGGTCCTGCTGGGTTCCACATCAGCTGACGGGCACCTGGCTGCAGGCCCCAGGAGGCGCCCGGGAAGGGTGCTGGCTGAAGCTGTGCCAAGAGCAGGAGTGGAATGGACACACCGCCCTGTGCAGCTGAGCCGCCTCTGCAGTCCTCGGAGTCCTACGCCTGGAAGACACAAAGGCCTCTTGTCCAGCCTCCTCCTCCTATTGTCCAAGCTGATCCATGCAGCTTTTAGGGAACTAGGAGTCCCTGTGGCCCCTATTGATGGAGCCTGGGCCTTAGGGTCCCAGTGTGGGGACGTCTCCCTGGGCACTGGAGGCCCAATCAACCCCCCTCTGTTTTCTCCCTTCAGATTTCTACTGTAACTGCTATTTAGGCCGAGAGAAAAAAATTCCTCTCATACCAAACTGGGGACCCAGGACTCTGCTCAGCCTCCAGCTGATTGGAGAGTGGAGAGATCAGGGTCCTGCTCCTGCTCTGGTCCATCTGTTACTTTATAGTCAAAGAAACTGCATCCCTGAGACACACAGTGTCTGAGCTACCACAACAGGAGGCTTAGTGAGGCCTGAGGAGCAGAGGAAAGGGACTTGTCCTGGAACCCCACGGCCTTACCTTCAGGTCAGAGTCTCTTCTCTGAGCCTCAGTTTCCTCTTCTGCAAATGGTAATAATAACCCATTTCTCACTGCCCATCTAAAGTTCTTTTTTCAGGGTTCCTCCCATTGTCCTGAGCTGCCTGGGTTCGAGGGTTAATATTCCTTCTAATTGAGGGGCTGAAAGTCTGTCTCCGGACAACTTCCCCAGACACTTGATCTGGGCTTTGGAGATCAAGTCCAGGCTCCAAACCCTTCACTGAGTTCCCCTTACTTGGGGCTGCCTGAGGAGCCCCCATCCCACTTCAACCTGAGTGAGCACCTTTGCTTTTATCTTTGTATTTATTTATACTTTCTGGTAAGAGCTTGTTGAAAAAATATAGGACTTTTCATAGCTAAAAGATTTTAGACCCATTGACCCAACCAGGAAATCGGGGCCCAGTGAGCCCCACAGTGAACCCAAACAAGGCCCCGTCTGGTAGGGTAGACTAACACCCAGGGAGCCTCCCTACGACCAAGCAGCCGAGGCAGGCTAGTGGTGAAGGCCAAGTCACCGAATGTTCCCAGGAGCAGGCGAATGGAGCCATGGGCCGGAGTGGGTGGGGTGGGGGGAGG